AGCATTAAGCTGCGTCCTCCCTGAATTTCCTCGGAGCAGAGACGGCGACGTGACGCTGAAATCCATATATTAGCGTAGCACGAAAGCAAAGTTCCACGCGTGAACAGCTTGCTTCCCATCCCGTACGCCGCCATCCGGTCGTTCTACTCCTTTACCCGCACAACCCATCGTTTTTTACTTTTTAATTGCGACTACGTCACACATTTGTCTTGGTGTACAATTGTAAACATTTTGTTTGCGAATTTTTTGCCATGAAAACAGTAAGTACTAAGCGAATTAAACTGTATCCTCAAAGTTCTTACCTGATAGCAGTTGTTTTTCAACTAGTTAAAAAATCCCAAAAAAACTGGGCCCGATTTCGAGCTGATAGTTGCTATCACGACATTAAAGGCCTGCTATGTGATGCGTCACGAGTGTTTGCTCACATCAAACGCGAATAGCCCAAAATAGGGAAGGATAATGCCAGCAATTTAACCATGAAAGTTATCAGAATCACTTACGTATTTTTGTGAAAAAGTGGACAATTCTTTTAATTTACTATTTACGGTGACGTAATCACTTTAACCGCGCGCGCATCATGTCGTTTTACTCTCACGTCTGTGCATCATCCATCATTTACTCTCTCTCTCTCTTTCAACACACACACACACACACACACACACACACACACACACACACCCACACACACACACACACACACACACACCGCACGTACGCACGCACGCACGCACGCACGCACGCACGCACGCACGCACGCACGCCCACACACACCACACACACACACACACACACACACACACACACACATTTTCTTCACCTCTCTCTCTCGCTATCTCTCTCGTGCGCAGGTCTCGATTCATTATAAGGTAAAGGCAAAATACTACGGTATACCCAGTTAGCAACTGCAGCAGAACTGCGGCGCTGGAAAACAAAGTCTGCCTAGTGGAAATTTGATGCCGTCTGTTCGTTTTGTGCTCTTTCATTTACCCGGCGCTCGCAAGGCAAGTGTAACGTGGGGCTCAACACCTAATATATTACCTCTAAGCATATAAACATCAAGCGCTATAATGAAGTCGATACATCGTCGGCGCCTTCGACTACGAATGTAGAACAAATTAAACATTTTCGATGGCACAATGCAAACACGGGCCTGGTTATATTTGATTGAAGAAGCCGGCAACAAGAGCGGGACACCCCTTCCCGCCGCCTACAAAGTTTTTTATAATGAAGTTGCAATCCCGTCGATGTTGGCAATGCAGTCTAATTCGACGCACTTTATTCTATTTCAACTGCGGAAATTTTTTGCCGCACACTGGAGAAATTAAGCGTGCAACCAGAAGAGGGAGTGTTCGTGACCCCCATCCCGCTCACAGACCGCCCGCTGGATCCGTCCCTAGCAATGTTTCACGACGAACGCATTCTGCAGGCGATCCCGAACCACTTCTGCTCATGCGCACATCCGATCGCCATTACTGCTGCGTCGATACCGTGGCGCCACGAATTTCCTGAACCGGACCCTAGAGGGCGCGCGCGCGTCACGCGCCGCCGTTGCCCACTGTCGCATGCGGCGCAAAACAGAATTAGCATAATAAAATGCGCCCGGATTATCGCGTAAACTGCGCCTGAACTCGTATCCAGCAGCGATATCAATCTATCATTGCTCGCCGTCTCTGGGAATAAGTGACGAAATGACGACGGCGTATAGAAATAGTGCCACTCGCCACGATGCTTGAATTCGTAACTAACTTTAGAGGCGAATTTCGCGAAGCGGCGACAGTTGGCGCCGCGCTGAAGGTGTTTAGTGAGCCGAGCCTCAGCGGGCCTGCCGCGAGGCGTGCGCGTTTATTTCCCCCGTAAGTTTACAACCGCTCTTCCTCCCTCCCCACCTCTCTCTCTCTCTCTCTCTCTCTCTTTCTCTCACGCTCCCATCTTTCTCTCTCTTTCTCCCATGCTCCCATCTCTCTCTCCCTCATACACACACGCTCCTATTTATCTTTCTTTCTTTCTCCCCCCTCCCCCCTCTCTCTCTCTCTCTCTCTGCATCTGCCTCTCCTATCTTTCTCCCGCTCCTTCTTTCGCTCTCAACCTCGCTCTTCTTTCCCTCGCCCCCTCTTTGTCTCTCTCGTCCCCTCCCTTCTTCCTATTTCGCTCTCCCTACCTCTCCCACTTTTATCTTTCTCCCCTTCTTCTTTTCTATTCCTCCTACCATCTTTCTCTCACTCTCTCGCACTTCGTCTCTTCCAATTTCTCCATCCCCAATTTGTCCTTCTTTCTATCGTCTTTTAAATCTCCCTCTCTCGCTCACGCCAGCTTTTACAATTTTCTCCCCTCTCCCTCATCTCGTACTTGCTCTCTCCCTCCCTCCTTCCCACGCTCTCGCCTAATCGCTCGCTGCACTCCTCTTTTCTTACTCTACCTCCCATCCCTCTCTCCCTTGACCTCCAATTCAGTTGTGAGCATGAAGCATACACTCGTACGCGCATACACATGCGTGCACGCACGCACACACGCACACGCTATCCATCTCTCTCTCTCTCTCTCTCTCACTCAATCTCTCTCTGCCTGTCCTCCTCCTCCTCCTCCTCCTCCTTCTCCTCCTCCTCCTCCTCTCAATAAAACGCAGACCGTCAACAATTCCGTCTGCTCGCGCTTTCGATGTCGGCATTTGTCTTTCATGTTTTTTTATGAAGGAATGTTTCCGGGCGAGTCTCGTTCTCCTATTTGTCAGTGCGAACATAACGGTGCTCTATAAATCAATCGGATTCTCTATCCTTGCCGTAACTGACCTCCGCTTGGAACGCCCGTAGAATCACCATCCACTTATATACGCGCAACAAACAATTTATTACGTCAACACGAAAGAAAACAAAATTATTTAAAAAAAAATCGTAATCTTTCAGATAAGGAAACAACTACTAAATATGAAGCGTATAACACGATAATCAGCGTAATGCGTGCGCACGGCTAATGGCTGCGCCGATAAGAGGCAAGAGACGAAAATTAGAGATATCCGCTATCTCTACTAATGGCTGCATTGGCTGGACAAGAGGCTGCGTGACAATTAGTGCTATCTCTTTGATCAGCGCACGAGACGCGATGCTAATGAAGATCTTCACAGACGTGCCGACGGAAGCGACCGACGCGCTCCGGATTTTGTCGGAACACGCTTTCGGAAACGCAAACAAACAACGACTCTCATCTTTTAAATTAAAGGAATAATAGGTCCATTGATTATGCAATGTTGACGAATGCTAGAGTAACTGGCACCTTGTGTAGTTAATAAGTACATTACCTTATAGCCAAACGGGTATTAGTTTGTCCAATATCACTGCTGGTTACTAAGAAATGTCTAATTGAAATCCGCAGTCCAAAAATCAGTTGTTTACAGTTTCAAACCGCTGCCGGCGAAGCGGGTGTGATACAGATTTATAGTGCACCGGACATTTTCGCACGTATGCTCGGCCGTACGCAATGCTATCATCAGTAATTTCGTAAACATGGACGCTCGTGATAAGGAACATTTTGTCAGGGCTGTCCACGTGCGTCCGCGATTAGTACGTGTGGTTTACTCTATTTCCATGTTTAGTCCGTGGCCGTGGTTACACTTACACCGCTGACACCTCCGTTTCATCTGGCGTCCAAAACATACGGGCCGCACAAATGTTTACGTCATCGCTTGACTCCTGGATGACATTTACGGCACGTAAATGATACTTTGATACATATCAACAACCGATTTCAAGTCTTGTTTGAAATGTAACCAGCAGTGATATTGGTCAAACTAATACGCGTTTGGCTATAAGGTAATGTACTTATTAACTACACAGTGTGCCAGTTACTCTAGCATTCGTCAACATTGCATAATCAATGGACCTATCATTCCTTTAAGTTTATTCGCTTTCCGCCGCAGAAGGAAAACGCGCGTGCGCACGCACACGCGCACGTACACGCATCCGGACACGTATACTAATCCGAAACGCCGTTAGCCGTATTACATCTTTGGCGGTTACGGATGGACTGCTACGTGCGGGCGCTGCAGCAGTGGATGGAGCAGTTGCGAGACACAAATAGAAAGCGCGCACGCACGCCTCTATCCATCTCTCGTGAACAAGATTTAATCAGCGGAACAGCTTGATGCGAGACCACCCAGCAGCATTATGCCGGACGCCGTCGCAATGACGGCTCCTCGAACCGCTCGTGACCTGAACAAATTTGCATCGATCAATCAATGAGTTAATCTATCAATAAATCGATCAATCACCGATGCATCCGAGTACTGATTAGATTCACGGCGACGTGCATGGCGGGGCGAGCTAACTGCGTATTTCTTGCATGGCGGACTAGATGAACTCGGCGTGAACGTCGAGTGGTGGTGGTGGTGGTGGTGCCGGGGGAATATCCAAGAGAACTTCATTTGCGCTGCCTAATACCTTTCCTCGTAGATGCCGATGTCTCGCCTTGCACACTCACGCGCATTTGCGCATTTACGCTGCCTTGTATTGACTCGTTTACATCACGGGCAATACTGCACAGAATTCCTCCATCCCTGCATGCAACCATTAACCTGACACCAACGTTCCCAGCCTTAATCCTCTCGTCAAACAACACAAGTAAATTCGGCATGCGTTAGGATGTATAGATGACTGTGTAATCGAATAATCAGTTAATGAGTAATTTGTTGATCGATCAAATGATTGATTGATGGAAACCTGCTGACAAGTGACTCTTGAACAACTCATAGCATGTTTGGTGTGTGTTGCCGTCACAAGCGCATAGTGCTGCTAACACCCGCCAGTTCAGTCTCCCTTAACGGTTGCTTTCGGTTTCACGACGCACGAACTTACCACGAAATGGCATTTTTTATTAGGAATCGATTTCACTATTATACGAAAAGCTTCACTGTTACGCGGAAAATTTCACTACTACACGGAAGACGTCAGATTTAGACGATCCATGGTCGCGCGCGTCAGTATAACTGAAAGTAATGCGAAATACTAGGATTCAAGGTAAATAATACTACGTTACTGCCGCATTTTATTATATTTTTCACCATTCAGGGCGGTTACGACACTTCATTACTTCACTCTTTATCTGTCTCGCCGCCTTCAGAAACGCTTTCCAATCACACTACATGTATTTAAACAGGAAAATTGGATACGCGATTTCAGCCAACAATCTGATTTCCAGCGACGCATCTATCGTGTATTCGGGCAGAATGAACTGCATACATATATACACAGCACATGACGACGCCCAGATCTGTATTGAGGTGACACATTGACGGACGCGTGCGGGTGAAACTCGGCGATATATACATACATGTACTGTCATTGTTACACGACTTTACGAATACTTACTACGAAGTGACAATGACATTGAATGAACATTAGACAGCACATACATGCATTGCAGATTTCAGAAACTCGGTGACAGCAATTCAGAAAAGTCTTCGAAAACGCCGTCGGCTGCCGAATCGATGGCCCGAAGCTCTAAAAGGTTTTTTGTTTTTCCATTGCGCCAGGAGACTAATATAATGCTGCCGCCTGCAACACCCTAATTTGCAAAATCATCATTGACAGGTGCTTTTAGCAAATCAACAAATTTCCCTACGTACGCGTGTAGAGAAGAGCTTCCAGCCAACTCTTCAACGCGATATAATTTTACAAGAAGCGATCGCACGACGGTGTTGAACAGGTACTGTACTAGCATTGACTCGAAATGTACTTCTTTTTCCTACGCCAAGCGAAGACGCAAAACCTTTCATTTACTTATTTTACTAAGTGCCTTCATATTTAATTTAAATACGCGCGTTCTCTCACTCTCACTCTCACTCTCCCCACTCTCGCTCTCTTGCCTCCCCCCACCCCAATTCTCTCTGTCTGCCTTTGTATCTCGCTGGCTCAACCTTGATCTCTTACATATTCTCTCTTTCTCTCTCTCGCTCTCACTCTCTCCTTCGCGCGCTCTTTTATACACACACACTCTCTCTCTCTCTAGCTTTCTCAGTCCTCTCTTATCTCTCTCGCTCTCACTCCCTCTCTATGTGCGCGTGTCATGTTTGATAACACAGCAGTTGCGCATTTGAAAAGAAGATTAAAAAACCTACACGCGCACATGAAGCACGTGGGATATCGACACAAACAACGGAGCAAGCCGTCACCCCGGCGTTGTCACCACGGCCGAGGCGACACACGCGACGTGCCACGCGCGACACAACACAATACAACACGCGCGTCGCGCGCACTCAAACCACGACCGTTCTACGCACCTCTTCTAGACTGGCTCCAGAAGTCGCTGTCTGCCGCCCAAGTTGATTCTCAACGACTCATGGAGTCAGTCTATAGCGAGTCTTCCTTACAACGATACCGGCAACCGAAATAGGATCGACGAACTATTCTCCACCTAGACTGGCTCGAAACGTACGTCCGCGTTACGCCCACCAGGCCAAAAGCTTGTTTCCGAAAACGGCGTACAGAATCAGTCTAGGCCGAGCTGATATTTTGTTCCGATAGCAATGCTGGATCAATTATTGATCAGTGATTGATCATTCCGGGTGTACCGCCCTCTCATCCACCCTGTCGTGTAACCCGACCCCACCCCCTCCCACGCTGCGAATGTTCCGTAAAACCCCTCGCCCTACTCATGCACGGTGATGCTTCCGTGTAACCCCTCCCTCATTCTACCACGCTGCGATGCTTCGGTGTAACTCCTTTCCCTCCTCCCGTGCTGCGACTTTTCTGTAAAACCCCTTCCTCCGTCTCTCTCTCTCTCTCTCTCTCTCTCCTGCGACGCCCCCCCCCCGCCTCAGCAGCCTCGGCGCGCGACCGGTCGCCGATCACAAGGCGCAGCGTATCTTCTCGCACACGTCGGCGTTCGTCCAGTCGAGGCTGACGTCATCGAGGTGATTGTCGAAGTCGACGAGCTGCCAGTGCTGCTTGGTGGCGAGCAGGGTCGCCGTGATCGCTGCTGCCGTGCCAGCGCCCTGCACCTGCACCCTGCACGATGGAAGCAAGCAAAGCTCGGCTGTAGATACATACACACATACTGAGAGAGCGAGGAGCGGGAGATGGCGAGAGCGAAGAACAGAGAGAGGGAGGAAGACAGAGAAAGAGAGGGAGGGGAGAGGGAGAGAGAGAGAGAGGGGAGAGGAGAGGGGAGAAAGAGGGAAAGAGCGAGAGAGACAGAGCGGGAGGGAGAGAGGGGGGGGGGCGAGAGAGAAGGGAAGAGAAATGGCTCAGAATCTTTGCCACAATACCCTAATCAAAGACACCTCAGCTATAAATGTCAACGTTATGCCAACTTACGTGTCAGGTGTCAATCTCTTGTATAATACTCTAGTAAAAGTAAGGAACCCTTAACTAGAGATAATCACGTTGTAGAAGTGTCAACATTGCTAGGCTCTCAATCCGTGCTACAATACATTGATAGAGTGTTGTTACCGAGCATGGTTTTACCACCAAAGACGTGGTGTCCCCGTTGGCACTAGCATATCATGGCATAGTGTGCCAGCTACTGGTTAGACAGGTTCCCGGTCGTTTTCACAATAATAATCTTTAAGGTACAAGTCTAACAGCACTGCCTGTTGCTACATGGCATGCTCTAATTGGTGGATACTAGATCGAATTATCATCAACTTATCGAATTATCAATTAGTCAAGGCTTATATATCCCGCAGTTTTCTTGGCGTTGCGATCACGGATATGACACCTTTAATCTCATCAGTAGCCACGTAATATCCGCGTGATAATTTAGCCCCTTTTTACGTCTTCTCCTAAGAAATTAATAATAGGATTTACTGAAAAAAATGAAGTGGAAAAAAGTAGTCAGAAGAAATACGATGAACTAAAAAAACATTACACAACAGTGGAATTACAAAAAATACACGTTTTTAATTAGTGTTTGATATCATTTTGATAACTAATCCCTACAACATTGCTCTCATACGACAAACTCATCCACCCTGCACAACTAAACGAATTAAATCACAACCACTAAAATGAAGATGTCCGTATTTTTTTCATCCTCCTATGTTTTTTAACACGACGGCTATTACATTCGGAAGCAACAACAACAACAACCAACATCTCCAAAAGAAGCCATATCTCTTCTTGTTCGCCAGTAGATTATTATTGTAATATAGAAGGTGGGGTGAAATTGGGTGGTGGTGACAGATTGGTGGTGGCAACAGGTGCTGGTGGGAATGATGGTGGGTAGTGTTTGTGGGTGGGTGGGTTGGTGGTTGGGTGACTGTGTGTGGGTGCTGGTGCGTGGGTGCTGGTGTGTGGTGAATGATGCTGGCGGGTGGGTGATTGTGGGTGGGTGTTGGTGTGTGGTGCTGGTGGGTGGGTGCTGGTGTGTGGTGCATGATTGTGGGTGGGTGACGGTGTGTGGGTGCTGGTGTGTGGTGCTGGTGCGTGGTGCTGGCGGGTGGGTGGTGATGCTGGCAGGTGGGTGATTGTGGGTGGGTGCTGGTGCGTGGTGCTGGCGGGTGGGTGGTGATGCTGGCAGGTGGGTGATTGTGGGTGGGTGCTGGTGCGTGGGTGCTGGTGTGTGATGCTGGTGGGTGGGTGCTGATAGGTGCAGATCTCACGATCGAACTGGGGGGGGGGGCGCGCAAACAATCTAGTAACTCCACGTACACAATCGATCATTCGGCGTGTAGAAACCCTCTCCCGCTCTCCTCCCGTTCCCCTCCCACCTCTCCAACCACACCTGTGCTCGCATGCTGCAATTATCTGAGTCGGGCGAGGGGAAAAAATCGCACGTTTTAATCGTCATCGGTTTTGTTAGTAGTATTTTTACTGTACGGCTCACTCGGCGCTACGCACGCCAGAGATGGCTGAACTAAGCCTGCCACGGGATCCACTCCTACTTACCCGACTACTCTACAGGTGTTGAAGCAAGCCTGCCACAGCATCCCAACTGCTACTCCGACTACTTCTACAGATGTTGAAGCAGAGGCCTGCCACAAGGATTCCAACTCCTACTCGACTAGCTCTACAGATGTTGAATTGCACAGCCAAGCCACATGTTCCAACTCCTAACTTCCGAGCTACTTCTACATGAGGTCTGAGAGCAAGCCAGCCACAGATCCAGACTCCCTACTCCCGACTTACTTCTACAGAATGTTGAAGCAAGCCTGCCACAGGATCCCAACTCCTACTCCCGACTACTTCTACAGATGTTGAAGCTAGCCAGCCACAGGATCCCAACTCCTACTCCCGACTACTTCTACAGATGCTGAAGCTAGCCAGCCACAGGATCCCAACTCCTACTCCCGACTACTTCTACAGATGTTGAAGCTAGCCTGCCACAGCCTCCCAACTCCTACTCCCGACTACTTCACCCATTCCGCGCATCGTCGGGGCCACGATAACGACGGTGAATGCAAGCAGAGAGTTCGCTCAGCGCTCTGAATGCGCCTTTCAGAGGCTGACAAGATGACAAGCGGGACTGCCGATCCCTGGACAATACCCTATTGAATCAACCTCGGGGGTAAATTAATCGAGGGGATGATAGACGCGGGTGCAGCGTGGTGCACGCACACGGAGAAGCAAAAGTAACGTCTTGCAAACTACGGGCTCATAGTGACGATCGCATGCCACGACGGTCGCATCATAGTGGCTGGGTTGGCGTGGGTCAGTAATGGTCATTCCAGGACACGCCGATACTGGTCAGTATAAATCAATACCGCTCATTGCGAGCCAACACATGATCTTACAAGCCAGTAGTGGTCACTAGAAGCACTTATTGGTCAGTAGAAGTCAGTACTGGTCAGTTAAGGAGCCAGTAATGGCTAGTAAGCGACAGTGTGGTAAATACCTTGGTACTGGTCATAATTGCTATATCTATAACGATTGATATATTGTAATCTATCGTACGTTCGGATAGGTCTGCCCTTCAACTTGCTGGCTGTTTTTACAAGATACTGCGACTAGCGCAGCACTACTGATGAACTGACTGACTGCTACTTTTTTTAATAAATTTCTCCCAACGAGTTACACATTTTTTGTACCGACAGAGAGCTAAGCTTCACCTACAAGGGGGAGGGCTCTGACACACGACCTCCTTTTGACGTCACCCCTGGTACTAGCGAATAGGGGGTCATAAGTAACAAAGGGGTACTGGTCAGTATGACCCTATACTCGTCAGCAAATTCTAGTGCTGGGCATCGCCAGTCGGTATTAGTCCGTGAGAGACAATGCTGTAAGCACGGCGTGCTCGCGGCAAGGGTTACCCGGCAACCGTCGCACTACCGCAACTTTTTTTTCAATCGAAATCATTCCCGCTTTGCCATTAATTCCCTGTCATCTCGAATGGGGCGGACTCGTGCGCTCACTCTCTCTCTCTCCCTGGTTATTATTCCATAGCCGGCCCGAACGAGCGCGAACCCACTCTGAGACAATTTTGACGGAAATATTCCCATTTGCGCACAACCGCGCTTGCGCGAGTGTCCGCGATAAATTCGCTGGAGTTCACGGCGGGGGCGCGCGAATGAAATCCCCCTCCCCCTCCCCCTCCCCCTCTCCCGCCCCGAGCCGAAAACAGCCAAACGGTGGCGGCGTAAAATGGGGGAAAAATTGCAAACGGTTCTATTGCCGGCGACGCTTCCTCCCCAAGGGCCGCCGCGATGTCGTGACTCGTGGCTTGGGTTGCCACCTACTCGCACAAAAAATTTACGAGGCATTGTATCCTCGCGCGCGCGCGTGTGAGTGAGTGCTGTACGCGCCGCGTCTGACGGAAGCCTTGCTATCGATCCGCGACGGAACTTCCTCGTCATCGAGCATTCGTCACGTCGTTCCGAGAACGTTAGTCTGAACAACATTTTTTCTGCTGCGTTCAACGCGAAGACAACGCCGTTGCAGCGAGAGACTCTCGCAGACGAACACGCCGAGGCGGACGCACGAAACCCGGCGAAGCTGACCCAGAGCGCCATCTAGTGTCACAATACCTGATCATAATAGCATCACGCGTGCGAAGAAGAGATTGCAGATGACGATGGAACTAAACGGGGGACACGACGGACAATCTTTGTCCGGCATATGACTGCTGTCGTTACAGAGAAGTCGTATGGTGAAACTGACGGTCTTTGAACGCCGTCGCACGGAAATTTCAACTGCTCTTTTTTTACAAAATACAATCAACCCAATTCACTGTAGTCACTATCGATCAATTTTATCACATTAATCCCGTAATTAGATTGTTTTGTAAATGATTTATGAGCCAAAGAATATCGAATTATGGGCCAAGCTGCTAATCGCGACTACGCCTCAAAATAGAATATAAGTACTTAACCAAGAAACCAATATTCGTGCACTCGTGCACTACTACTTAGTGATATCAATGCACGCTGCCAACGCCATATTTTATTCATTATGCCTAAGCTGATGTTTTGTAAATGGCATGTATCTCTCTAAACTAAAACGTCCTATTATGAAGCTCTATCACTCTCACGTGCCCCCCTCTAACTCGCTCTCTGCCTCTCTTGTCGATTTTCCGAGGGTCAAATAGAGATTTCCTAGCAATGTTCGAAAGAAAGGCACTGGTGATTTTGTGGAAAGGACGTGTACTGTGGTGCGTACTGTTATTATGTGAGTAGCACCATAGGAATTATCACACCCCATGTTCCGAAATTCCTCTATGATGTTATTACACGTGTTCAAAATTATATTCATGTCCTAATGTGTCGCATATAAAGCAGTTTCTGACCTTCGTGCCTTGTAATGTGCTAAAACCATTAACTAATCATAATTTCGACATTACACATTCCAAAATTCTATAAATTGCCCACCTAGGGAATTGCAATTCATATGAATTTTGACATTAGCAGCATGAAAATGTCTAATACCCAGGTTTTTTGCCAAAACTTACAACTCAGCCATATTTTGACAATTCGGCTATCGAAAATTAGTATTATTATCACATTATTAGTAGGTATACATTTTTACTTTGCTCCTGCTATGAGTACATGTATGGTCATGAATTTCAATTTACACTATCTACACAAATTGTGTCGTGGCTCCACCTGTCTGATAAACTTGATCAGGGGCGTAGATAGCAGGGGGGGATGCATCCCCCCCACTTATTGACGAGGGAGGGGGCGTGTACAATCATCCCCCCCCCCTACTTTCAGGAGGAAAATGGGAAATTCAAAATTTTCTGGGGGAGGACCCGCATACCCCCGCCTGTTTCTTACCACCCTCCTCGAAACCCTGCATTGGCCACTGTCGAGCTTAACAAATTGAGCACCCTCAATTTCTTCAAAAATCACTTCAAAAATCGTTCCGCGGCGCCTGTAGAGTACTGCTAACAAAGATTATGATTATGAATATTTGTATGCATATCAAAAGTCAAATTTGAGTTCATCTGACAGGGGCGTAGATAGCGGGAGGATGGGGGTATATCCCCCCCCCTCACACACTTATTGAGGTGGGGTGGCTTTCATCGCCCCTACTTTCAGGAAGAAAATGGGGAAAAATTTAATATTTTACAGAGAATAAATACTGGATATTTATCTACAAATCCATCATCGCTATTCATACTCTCCTAATGTATTATTACAGAAATAGAACGTGACATACATCTACTGTAAAATGGCTGTAACTCGTTCCAAGAATGACATTATTTTACTGAAACTCAGACGGTTAATCTTATCAACTGTTCACGAAAGTTAAATCCTTGCTTTATTCAAAATTAGAACAGACCTATTGAAAGTTGGGATATTGAATTTTCACAGGGATTGAATGGGAAAATTCAATTTCATCTCACTTTTGGGGGGGATGGGGGTGCTGAGACCCGACCGGAAGTATATTCCCGATTTTGTACAAGGGGTGAAAATATGCACTTTTTGGTTCAAATCTGGTTGTTTTCCTCATATTTTTTTGCAGTTTTTCTTAGTAAAATATACGTTTTATCAAAATTTCAGGGGGAGATGATTCCAGTGCTGTAGTTGTCAACGGGGGGTCGGTAGTACGGGGCGTTCGCCCCCCCCCCTAGAATTTTCAGGGCAAATGTATTTGAGCCCAGGTAAGTCTGCACTGGTAACCCCAGTGAGGACATGTACATAGCACAGATTTGGTAGTAATCATTTTAGTGTTTGGTGTCCCCAAAGGTAAAAATACTCAACTCAACAGTGATGTTATTGTGATGAAGATTGTTTAATAGTGCTACCTCATAGTGCAGGAAATTGCATCGAAGAGGTGTTACTTTCAAAATCCCTGGACCCCCCCCCCCCTAAACAAGAAGGGGACACGCCCTGAAGGAAGAAAAACCCTGATATTCTATGATAAAGATGTCCAAAATTGATTGCTTTTAGATTGCAACTTTTTAACAATTCCACACAGTGGGAGGGGAACACCCCCCGGGCGCTTCATGCCCTTGAGCTCGCATGATTCGCCCCCTCCCCCTAAAAAAAATGTCTGGATCCACCACTGGTTGTGTGTGTGTTGCGTGTTATTAAACCTCTGGGATCCATAGAAAAAAATTACCCTAGAATTCACAAAATTGCACTTACAATATCAATATTTTTCAATTCCCTCAAAAACGGCCATCTTGAAGGTTCTAAATTGCTAAAATCCAAGAGCTTCCACGGGCTCCGCCCCCTGGACCCCGGGCTAGGGCGCTGCCCCTGCACCCTGCCAGGGGCCCTAAGGTGGCCCCCTGGACCCCAACCATTAAGGGCTTTGTGCCAAGTTGCTCGCGGTGTGCGCTACTCGCGCACACTATTCATATACATTGCGATAGAAGTAACAGCGAAATCATCCCCCCCACAACTGAGGACCTGTCTACGCCACTGAACTTGATATATAACTGAAGATACAGTCAAACCAGAGTATAAAGGACCAATCAAGAGAAACCCCTTAGGTGTCCTTTATTATCTGCTGCACTTTATATGGAGGTTGTTCCACTGTATAAGTGTCACTAATGGGAAATGCAACAAGGGTCCTTTATAGACAGGTGTTTATTTTATAGTGGTGTGCTAACATAGATTTGATTGTATATGCAGTGAAACTACAATACACATGATAGAGAACCAAACATGACAGGAATTGATGCTCTAAAAACTAAATACCTAATACAATATTATATATAATAATATTCCAATTCTATAAAGAACATAAGAGTATATTTGAGGTTAAGATGACAATCAAACCAGGTATATAAGCTGCGTTCACACGAGGATTTCAGTTCCGTACTTGAGCGTTCACATGCTAAAATATACGCGGCTTATTCAGTACCGTACTTAAATACGCGGCTTGCTTAGCGCGGAATCATATTCCGCGCCAACTAAGCCGCGTATATTCGGCACCACGCTGGCCGCGTATTGTCTGTCGTGTGAACGCATTTCAGCCGAACTCAGCACCAACGAGGCCGTGTATACGTGTGAACGCAGCTATATTTGAGCTACTATATAAAAAAACAAATCGCGGGGTCTACAATATATATACACTATATAACACACTGTATAAAACAAGACTACGAATAGAGGATACATACTTGTGCACATCCCTCTTCTTTGCCTTTCCATCGTGTACTGAATACACAGTAAAGGCTGCATTCTCTACTTCTGACTTGAGCTTGTCATTCTCAACCTAGAAACAGAAGTCACAATTTCCAAATTTTAAATGGCATTCCAACTTGACATGTAAAGCAAAGAATGTCCTAAAATGCAATGATTGGCACTCTGTAACCTACTCGAACGACAACAAAAAAACACTCAAGTTGAAATATATACATTGAAGTTTAAGAAAAACTTATTATAGATTAATTTTGAGTAACCTACCATTAGCAATACTGCATCACCAAAGTGTTCAGCTATTTTCTCTGTCACTCGGCACGAGACCAGGTCTGGACTGAAAAATTGTTTTACAATATTGTTTACTCACTGACACTGCATTATTTATTATTTACCAGAGCTGCAATGGTTGTCAAATAATTGAAAAGTCTTCCTTCACTTAGATGTATTTGCCTGTTTGACATGATATGTAGAACAAGTAGAAACGTTTCTCCTAAAAGACAGCTCAGGATCAAGCACTCGCAAACCAATACAAAACATTTAAGAATTAAGTAACATATTTTTGGCATTAAAAAGAATGAATCAGAGATCGGACATGTCAGTGGTGTGACACGCAATATCATACTGATACTAATCTGCTGAACATCAACAAATTGTAATACCCGTTACAATATGTAGCCTGTCAGAGCAAAACATGCCGTAGGACTTCAATGTTCATTCTGAGTTATAGGTGATTTTTCACCTAAAAGTAGTGAAAAGCCACTTTTTTTTCCTTTTTTTTCATATATTTGGTCATATATTTGATTTTTTTTTGGTCATAAATACCTTTAGTAGTTATCCATGTTCGATAATAAAACTGGCCAAAAGTGTAATATGCAGTAAGATATTTTTTCAGATTTTTGTCCAAATGAAGGCCAAATGAAAACAAACTTTAACTTTATGACCTAATTATTCTGAACTTTGTTTTCCAAAATCGGCCCGATTCCAACTACTCAAATGCTCATAACTTCCGAACCATATGACCTAGTGAAGAAGATCTTGGTGTCAAAATAACCAGAATTGAATGGTCTTTCTGATAAAACTACTAACTCATAATGTCCGAATTGAGTCCTACAGCATGTTTTGATCTGACAGGCTACATATTGTGGTGCACTCTAGCTAGTAAGTTTCTTGGAATGCGCAAGTACAGGCCATGTCAAAAAAGATGAAGTTGTTCTTGTAAATTTTCCCATTGCAACTTTAATTCTTGTTGCAGGGTTAGCTCAGTATGCCAATTGCCATGCCTGGTACTATTAGTTTACAAAGGAAAGGTCAGACTTATAATTTGCCGTGGGATGCATGTCATGGATTGGCCATGGATTGGCCATGCATGGCATGGTGACCCAGTTTTGACTAACGATTATGATCCTGGAGTAAAAAAAACTACTGAGATGAGGTATTATCATGTCACAAGTACCTATTGGCAGTGAAGCTTTCGTTAGCTTGGTAGTAGCCGGCTATGACAAGGTTTTTAGCTCTGCAGTAGGCATCTACCTGAAAGATTAGGGAAACCACAATTTTAAACTACAACTCAAGCATTTTGTATCCAGGATGAAAATATCTACACATTTTCTTGCATTTACCATGATTATTTGATTAATTACATATAGCAGTAACATTACCAACCTAAAACACACATTTTGCCAATTTTCATTTTGAATTAGTAACTGATAATGATTTTAATCTACAATTTACAACAGTTGCGATTTAAACAACATCAAGTCTGCCCAGAAAGTATTCTTAATTTTGATGCAAAATTAATTTTAATAAATTGAGGATATATTTGAGTAAAGGAGATGAAAATGTTGCCATATATAGACTGAACTGATGAAGCTGTGCAATGTATTCCCTATAAAAACTAGGACGTGCTATTGTGAAACCTCTCTCTCTTACAAACTAGACACACAATTCTTGATTGCACTGTGACTAGGGTACACAGATAGACACTCCTATTAGGTTATCTATAATAAAGCCACCCTAAAACTATTGTATTACCAACTTTGACACAGAATGTTGGACTACGTAGCTTTGCTAGATTTGCCACCACTTAACGTAGTTTCAATACCAGGGAAGGTGAGGTGTCAATAATCAAACTAAGGGTGGGAAGCAAGGGGGAAAATTTCTGTTTATGCAGCAATTGACGGTTGGAACTCTCTACCACAGCATTTTAGGAGAAATACTTTAATAGTTGTCAGTACTATCCTAAAAAAGTCGAATTAATTGCAAAGGTTGAAACATTGAGGAGGCAGAGGAGTTTGAATTACATTATTGAATTAAATTGTAAATAGTGCAGAAGAAAAGTACAAATTATGTCAAAAGTATGACTTGTAAAAATTGCACACCTGTATATTTCGATTCAAACTCAAAGTCCTATATCTAATACATATTTGTGAATGTCTCTCTGTTTGTCTGTTTTCGATGCAAATCAATATGGGCCACTCTAGACCACGTGCTAGACCATATACTCTATGTCCAAGGATGCTCAGTAGATGTAACTTTTGATGCTGAATGTCATGGACACATTGGATTTGACCTCAGAGGTCATCCCACGTCACAGGAGGAAAAAATTAGGCAAAAATCGGTGATAAATTGCCCCTGCAGCAGTATTAAATAAATGCGACCCTGCAGCAGCAGTAAATAAACCGGCCCCTGCAGCAGCACTAAATAAACGGGATTCACTTTGCACTGTACAATGCGCCATGTCATTGACCTAACACAGGGGTCGAAATTAGCGGTATCCCGATATCCGCGGGATAGTAGATTCTTGTGTTGGATACCAGATTTCAATACTTGGTATCCCGCCGGGTATGGCATGTATTTTGTTTCATAATTCGATTTTTTGTTTTATGGTTGATTTTATCACATATAACATGCACGGATCGAATGCTTCGATCCACGGATCGAATAATGCGATTCAGAGTCGCATGGTTCGATGTGGTGCGTGCAAGAGGGATCTACATAATACCAAAAATACCGTAGTGGTTATTCCCACTGCGGCGGTGCGGATAACAGAAAATGTGTTCTTATTCGCACCGCGGTGAATTCGCAGTGCACACGCAAGCAGAAGTTAACTGATAGCCTTGACCACTGAGCTCTATCATAGAATAATTTATTTTATTTTATTTTATATTTTATACATGTTGAAAGGCCAAGGAGTGCCAACATTGAGCAGTTACTATGTATGAGCAAGAGAGAAAATAGAGGAAGAGGGACGAGGTATATGAGGAGGGGAGAAGGTGGTACAGGCGGAAGGAGAGAAGGTATAGGACGAGGGAGAAGGTAGTTGGAGAGGAGGAGGGGAGAAGGGGTGGAGGTAGAAGAGGTAGAGGATGAGGAAAAAGGTAGTGGATGAGGAGGGGGAGAAGGGGATGAGGTAGAAAAGGGGGACAGGGAGGAGGTAGAAAAGGGGTACAAGAAGGAGGTCGAGGAGGAGGGTAGAAGGTGGTGAGGGAGAAGATCTATAGTCTCTTGCAGAACCTCTACTTCGGTAGTGCGCATAACGCATCTACAATGTAATTATTTCCATTTACATTTTTGTAATTTTGTTTTATTATACTTTTAATGTGGGGTTCTTTGGTGAGAAATTGTTATTTGTGTAAGCCTATAAATATACATTGATGCCTGTGATGTGTATGCATTGTATCAAGCAAACCAGACAATGCGTCTAGACAATACGTCTGCAGTGTACTTGTCTGTGCATATCTGTGAATCTGTTTTCATGTTTTATGTATAATAATTACATTACATATTAATAATTTTCAAATGCTATTATTGCATATTTCAATATTTTGGATACCCACATTGTTGAAATTACTATCCAAAAAATGGAACGCCAGATCTTTGGGGGGATACCAAATTTCAATACCTGGTATCCCGAATGGATACCATAATAAAAATCTAATTTCGACCCCTGTAACAACATTCACCGTGCACTGACTTGATACAGAATGTGCACCACTACTTTCGATAGGTTCTAGCAAATTCTAAAAAATTATTAATCTTACTTGAATGTACCAATTTCCACCCATGAAAAGGCCTGCATTAGTTATTCTGCAACTTTAAACGTGTACCAGATAGATAGATAGATAGATAGTGTTACGTGCTGCACAGCCCCGAAGTCATAGCCAAAACCAGAACCAGTGGAGAACGTTTACACAAGCATTTATTCAGCTACACAACCGTGTGCTCCGTGCTCCGTGCCCTGTCCACTGCCTCGTGTATACACGTGTACGTTACACCCATATATTGCCACGTGTGTCGCCATCTAGTGGCTGACTAGGCTATTCCAGACATGTTTTACAACACTTAACATCTTTCCCCTTTTGGAAAAACTCGATCTAGCTCAACACCAATCAACACTATTTCTTTAGTCATCAAAGTAACACGACCCAAAATTATTAAAATAACAGAACACAAAACTAACTATTTTCACAATCCTCATAGGTAGTATGACTTTAACGTTATCACTTCACAAGAATTTAACTTGTATCAAATATCATCAATACATCACAAATTATACCTTCTTGTGCCACCGATACGTGTTACATAAATGAACGATCATAGCTGAATAAAATAAAACCGCTTAACATAAGACGTGTCACTCTATCATCCGATACTACTGATGCTACTGCCTAAACCTTACAGGCATTTTAACAGTTCTGCCGGATCTGGTTGTCTTTACATCGGCGTCTGTTGCCATCTTTGTTTTGCCAACCGCCGATGCTGACGGTGGCTGAGGTACGTCGGAAGGGGGTGCGATTGGCACTTGCGTGGGCAACGCCGGCGACGTCGCTTGTCGCAGCTCTTGTCGTGGCTCATGTGGCGGGCTGTCGCTCTCTGTGGCAATGCTTAATTTGGCTTGGCTTGGTTGAGGCGGCAGCAAGTGTGCTGACTTGTCAAACTTCCTGAGGTGGCGTCTGTTCCTTCGGAACACTTTTCCTTGTTCCGTGGTCACCTCAAATAAGCGACCTATCAGCTGCTTTGACACTCTTGCCTCCTGCCACTCTCTCTTCCCGGGAACCAGCGGCTGCATCCTCACAGTGTTATCAACTGTGAGCCAGCTAAGTTCCCTGCAGTTACGCCTGCTCTTTCCAAGCACCCGCTTTCTCTCTTTAGACTGCGCCTCCCTTATCGGGTCAGCATACCCCGGCTTCAACTTTGCTTCACTGATGGGCATAACAGTCTTTGTGCGTCTCCCCAGCAGCCTTTGAGCTGGGCTGGTTGACATCCCCTCTGTTGGTGTGTTTCTAGCATTTAGAAGACCTAAGAATGGGTCTTCCCCAGAGGCCTTGCTCTTCCTCATGAGCCTCTTCACAATCTTTACAGCAGCCTCGGCTGCCCCGTTGGCCTGACTGTTGCCAGGGCTGATTAACTCATGGTGAAACTTCCAGCCGCGTGCGAATGACCGGAACCTCGCTGATGTGAATTGAGCAGCATTATCCGTGACGACCGTGTCAGGGATACCATATCTCGAGAAGTGCTCCTTAAGCTTCATAATCACTGCTTCAGCAGTTGTCTCACGCAGCCGGTCAACATCAGAGACGTTGCTATGATCATCCACTGTGACAAGGTACCGTATATACTCGCGTAATAACCGCAAATTTGGCCTCAGATTTCAACCCTGTATTTGCTCTGCGGTTTATAAGTGCGCCACACCGTGAGGGGAAATATACTAGGCGCAATACTTGGTTACCCGATTCAAATTGAGGTGCGGCTTATAGGCGCCCGCGGTTATTACGCGATCATATACGGTAATCACAGCCTGCCCACGACAACAAGTCCGATGCCACGCTTTGCCAAGGTCTCCGAGGCACCTCTGCAATGACTGGTGACTCTGCATGTTGTTTCACTGAATATGTCGCGCATGTACCGCATGCTTCCACATATTGTCGGATCTCTGCCGACATACCCGGCCAGAAGATCAGGTCTCTGGCTCTCCGTAGACACGAGTTTATTCCTAGATGCCCCTGATGTACCTTCTCCTTCATTTCTTTCCTTAGACTGACTGGGACGACTATTCGTCCACCTCGCAGGATGATTCCACCCTGAACGGTAAGCTCGTCCCTGTAGCTAAAGTACGGACGTAGACTCTCTGTCAAGTGCCTTACCTCGCTAGGCCATCCTTTCATGATGACCTGCCCCAGGGCCACAAGAGTGTCATCTGACAACGTAGCACCGCTGATCTGAAGTAACCTTTCATCCTTCAGTGGATGGCACGTGATGTTGTGCACATCCACAACCTCCTCCTGGTTGGTTGTGAAGTGGGTGCTCTAGACAGCGCGTCTGCCAACAGTATCTCATTTCCCGCGTTATATTTCAAACAGTATAAGTACTTTTGTGCCCTCAGAATGAGATTCTGTAGCCTTTTCGGGGCCTTCGAGAGTGGCTTTGCGCAAATCGCCACCAGCGGTTTGTGGTCCGTCCAGACCTCAACCTCTCGCCCGAAAGTGTAGTGATGGAACTTTTCCAATCCATACGTCATGGCCAGCATCTCC